CCAGCGCCAGCGCCAGCGCCAGAAAGGCTTGAAGAAGTTGCGCGCTGCGTTCGAAAGGAAGGCTGGGCGGTGGAGCAGAAAGAGACGCAATGGGGGCTTCTCGGGGCACACGCAGAGCTTGCCTAATCCTGGGACAACATTCCGCAGATCCAAGGTTTCAGCGTTGAACCAGAGGAAGGAATGAGAGGACAGCCAGGGCATTCAGAAACCGACCGGCAGAGATAAATGTCTAAAATCCTCTTGAAGGCCAGCAGAGAGGAGTTCACTGGCACGTTGGTCGGGCCATCCTAGTCCTCTTCCGTTGACGCTGGCTGGCTGCTGCTCCCTCACCTCGGGCCAAGGAAGGCCCTTCAGAGCCCTCCGGCACGCTCCAAACGCCGAGACTGGATTCGGCGCTTCCTTTGCTTGAGGAAGGTGCGGAACTGCCCCACGGATAGGTCCATCGGATCCCATTAAAAAACCCAGGCTTCAAAGTCCAATTATTTTGGACCTCTTTATTTTGTATTGATTGTTGGGATTTTGTCATTTTAATTGATTTTAATTGCTTTGTAAACCGCCCAGAGTCATTTAACGAGATGGGCGGTGACAAATTCGATAAACAAAGAAAGAAAGAAACATATGATAGGCTCCCACAGGCCTTGTTTGCCATCCCACGGATTCCGTAGTGGTTGAGTGGACGTTTGCAGGGGGAAGAGAGGACTCCGTTCTTACATTACAAATGCTTGGAGAAAGAAAGGAGACCGACAGCACAGAGTGCTGAGGATAGGGTTAGCCACAGCACAAAATAAGCGGGAAGAAATGGAAAGTCTTGTTTTCTTGCGTTCCTGATTTCTGGCAATTGCGGTAGGGAAGGATACGTGCGTGCGTGCGTGTCCATTGCCTAGGCTGTGGGTCTTCCTCCTGTCTCCCAGGGTCATTCCCACATACCATCACTTACATACAAAGACTTGCCCCCATCCCCAAGCTATGGTTCAGCTAAGCTGAGAGTGAAATTCATCTGACTGGCGCAGGATGCCTGAAGCAACTGTGATACTTTTCTTAGTTCTTTGCCTCCAGAATTTGATATTCAGAGGTAGACCATCTTATGCACCGAAGGTCCATCTGGCTATGGGTAATGTCCATAAGAAGATGTTCAATTTTAGACTCAACCCCAGCCTTTGCTGAACCATCCAGAGACATGATCAAGAGCCACCAAACAAGGGGCTGGCATTTTCTCAGTAAGGAATATGAAAAGTCTTAACAGCTAACAATGAGAAGTTTTTAAAATATGAAGTGGTGTTCAAAATCATGTTCCTAGAAATCATTACTTACATGCTTCTTTCCTTTCCTTTGGGAGATATAAACTATGATGTGCTTAGCTGATTTTAGAGCCTTGACCCTGTGGTCTTACTGTTTCTGTGAGGAAACTGAGGGAAATACTCAGCCTTGGTGAATTTAGAATTGTCCACCTGCCACTAGAATACTTTACGACTTTGTGGTTTGAGGAGACAGTGAGGAAAAACCCCTTGATCACAGCAGCCAACCTCCCAGATTCAGATTTAGCTTTTTCAACTGGCAGATCAAGATCTGCAGCTCTTAGGTAAGATCTTTGTTTTTAAAAGCAGCTGATCAGGCCCAGCCTCATCTCTAGAGTTCTTCTAAACTGAGATGTGATGGGTAATATTGTTGTATACCTGTCTGCTCAACATCCTGCTGAAGTGAATGGGCTTCTTCCCAGCCGCAGAATCTAGGTCCTGAGTCAAGGATGCAGAATTGGGGTTCCTATGTCGGGTCCGCTGCCTTCCCCCAAAGCAGGTTTGCACCAGAAAGATGAACCCCACTTGCTGAAGTGTCTCCGAGGCTTCAGGCAGGAGGCGGAGGGAAGCTCGGCGAGGACCTGAGTGGCACGTGGTTAAGGGGCAGATGGAGCAGGAGGAGGGCCCGTGCTTCAGATGTTTGTATTTGGCAGGAAGAGCTCCCTAAAACATACCAGGCGCTCTCTTGCTTCACCTTTCTTCGTTACTCTGCTTACGCTGCCCCGGTCTGTGCTGCTTTCTTGAGTCTGTTTCCACTGCTGTGTATACCATCCCAGGGAGCTGCAGTCAATCAAGAGGGAGTAATAACTTTAAATTCTTTGACTGAGGAGGCAGGAGACGGGGGCTGATTCCGCGGACTGTCCTCGCCACCCTAAGCCACGGCTTGCTCAAGTCGTGTTTGTTGAGTAAGCCAGTACTGGCAGGCTGATCTTGTTGTGTTTTGAGAAGGCCGCTTTGATTTATGGAAATAATAGAATAGTACATCGAAGTGAAAGAAACCACAGCTACCTTGACTAAAGTAGCAGATGTTTTCAAGACAATGGCGTACTTAGCATTGCATTGCATAATTCTGACCCGTTTCCTCTTTGCGTCTAAACAGCGTTGCGTTCTTCTGAGCTGAAAGACCCCCCCCCCCACGCCAACATGCTGATTCTCCTGGCATTTATCATCGTCTTCCACATCAGCTCAGCTGCACTCTTGTTCATCTCTACAATTGATAACGTAAGTTGCCAATGCAGTTTTCAGTTTCGTGTCTAATTCCAAGATTAGAAGAATGTCCTCAGAGCACGGAAATTAAATTTTTCGGACCTAAGTCTCATCTCATCTGAGATCATGCCTTTGGTCTAAGGGCGAAAGGACTAACCCTAGCAAGACTTTTGGGACAGGATTTTCCTGATGAACTGGAGAAGGAAGTCGATCCGCAGCCTGGGCGCTGCTGAGAAGGTCCCGTCTTGCTTTGGTGCCCAGCTTAAAAAAAAAGAAAAAAAGGCCACCGGTGAATCACGATTCCCACTTTGGGGCGGCCCCTACTCTGTGGAGTGAAGCAGTAGGAAGTGTCAGGTGTGTCAGAAGAGGGGCTTGTTCCTAACATGTTGCAGACGTGTGGTGGTACCGCTTTATATGAACATACAGATCGAATGAGGTAGAGGAGGGGCAGAGAGCCGAACAACAGTTCTGATCTTCGAAGCATCCGCTGCCCCGGGAGCCACGTCTCTCTCTCCGTCTCTCTCGATTTCTCAGCGAGCGGGCTGGCGATGTGCTTACGGCTGTGCTTCCGCCGGTCACGGACAGAGTGCAAACAGCGCTTGGCGGCTTTACCCAGGCCCGATAGTTCAGGCTTAACAGAAACCAAATGCTGACATCATCAGCCAAACAAAACACCACCTTGATTTGCTCAGCAGCAGGCACCTGCGTGCACACGCACACGCACACACCCAGGGCTACTTCCTGACGCTTCTCTGAGATACGTTTATGACGTTCTCTCTCCCACATACCCATGGACGGGTTCAGTGGGCAATAGCCGCCAGCCGCAAATAACTCATTTAAAGTTCATCCCCCGTGCACCCTGTTGGTTCGGGGGGGGGGTTGTTTTAAAGCTCTTTGCTGGTCTCCCGAGTAGAGGGCCCCGCACCTTCCGTGTCTTTTTCATATTCTTCCATAGGCCTGGTGGGTCGGTGATGGCTTTTTCATAGATATCTGGCACCAATGCTTCAATGAGACGAACTGCACCGCGCTGGATGAGACCCTTCCAGGTGAGTCATAAGGAGGACTTTTCGGCTTGCTGGGGGCGGGAGGGTACGGATGCTCCAATGGCCCCTATGGGGCTCTGCTCCGCCCCCCCAGCCCCAAAGTCTTCTAACTAGCCTGTGGTTGCAAAATGCCATGACATCATCGCATTAAGCACCGTCCCAATTGCCCAGAAAAATATTGCTTTACTACGCTTCCATTTTTTGATTCTGTTCCACGGGGGTCATTTTTTTGGCGGGGGAGAGGGCCATGCTGTGGCCCTCTCTGCTTCCCCAGGTGCCTCTGTTGTCCCAGCCCCAACCGAAAGCCCCTTCCTCTGGGGCTCCCCCCTCATCCTTTTGAGCAGGGGAAGCTGCGCTGTGCCAAGGAGCTTTGGGACAGAACAGGAGGAAGGGAGGGGCCCACCGCTGCCAGACTCAAAAAGTTCCTCACAGTGGAAGCTGGCTATTTTTCCGGCGGAGGAAGTAGATTCTGGAGAGTTGGCAAGAGCGACGGCTTTTTTTATTGTCCTTCGGCATGAAATTGGCATGAGGAGGTCTCTGGCAGGATGCGGGTGGGTCTGAAGTCGGGGAAGTGAGTGGAAAATGAACTAGGGCTGGGGAGGCACCGAGGTGCTGTCCGGGCGAGGAGAGGCCGTGCTTCTGTTGAACGGCCGGGCTGCAAGACCGGGGAAGCTTGTCCGGAACTATGCCTTAAGCCATCAGTCCTGATTTGCAAGCCACAGCATCTTGGGCCACGCAAAGGGCAAGACCTACAAACCACATTAGGGCCATGCGGGGACCCAGCGTTGTGCGCTGCTGGGCATTCAGCGTGCGCTTCTCCTGAGAAGCACAACCGTAGGTGGCCTGGCTCAACATGCGTTTTGATTCCCCCCCCCCCCCCAGATTACCCAGCCCTCCAGGCAGTCCAAGCCACGATGGTCCTGTCGACGATTCTTTGCTGTGTGGCCTTTTTCGTCTTCATCCTCCAACTCTTCCGCCTCAAGCAAGGGGAGCGATTTGTCTTAACGTCCGTCATCCAGCTCTTGGCCTGTGAGTATCCCTGGTCGAGAATCTGCATTCCCAGTCATGCGAAAAGCAGTTTTATAGGGCCGCGGGGCTGGACCCCCAGCTTTAATGTGTGACTGCTCAATGATGGCTTGGGGAGAAAAAAGTCCCTTTCCTCTTCATCATGGTTTAGGGTCTGCTTTCCTCGGGAAAGGCAGTTAAGAAAAGCAATGCTTCTCGAAGCCCGGCCTGCCCGAGGCACGTGAGCGAGAACTTTTTTCGGATTTGGAACGTGTTGCGAGTCTCTCGGGCGTCCTGCGAAGCGGGTCCCTAAAGGGTCCCTCCCAGGGTGGCCGGCGGCGAGCACAGAAGCCGGCTCCTCACCCGTCCCTGCCTCTTGCTTCCGCAGGCCTGTGCGTCATGATCGGGGCTTCCGTCTACACCGACCGGCACGCGGAGCTGCACCAGGGTCCCCCCTACGAGCAATTCGACGTGAAGAGCGGCCGGTTTGGATATTCCTACATCTTGGCTTGGATCGCTTTCGCTTTCACTCTGCTCAGCGGCCTCATGTACCTCATATTAAGGAAGCGCAAATAGAATGGCCGCCGCTGCTAGGCAGGGAGAGGACGAGGAACCCCCCGCCCCCACCCCCGAAAGCTGTCCTTGCAGTGCTGGAATTCCAGTCCCTCTTTTGTAAATAGAAGTGTTTTGTAGTAAAGTTGTTGCTTGTTCCTTTCCCCCGTCCTCGGTGTGGAATAACAAGGCCAGTGGGCGGAAAAGAAAGAAGCCGGTGGGCTGGCGCTTCTCGCGCAGGGCTCCAAGCGGCCAGCCAGCCGGGCCCACGGCTCGGGTGACTAAGTGCCCCGGGCACGCCGCTCCTCCTCCTCCGGCTTCTGTGGCTTCTCTTGTTCTGCAGCCCTCCGAACCACCGCCCTGCTACTCGGCATTAACAAAAGATGGGGGCGGGGGTCTGATTGGGACTGGCAGCGTGCAGTATACCCCAGTGTTCGTAGATCTGTAGCCAGTCCCCAGCCAACTGGAAGCCGGGTTCGCTTTTACGACATGTGAAGGGAGAGATCCCCAAAGCCCACGTTCTTCTCCCCCCCAGCTTGAATTCTGTAAAACGCTGCGTGCTTCCATCTCGCCACTGGCAGTTTTGCCAGCCGAGGGAGGAAGAACCTGAGAGACGATGGGTGCCGCCGTAGCACATTTCAGTGCCTTTCTGGGTGCCCGTGCCAATCTGTGCCCTGCTGCACCTGGCGCAGTGGCACGCCCACGCTGGGGCAGCAGAACGTTCCGCTCTTCCCGGTGCACGGGGAAGGCCCTGCCCGGCGGCCAGGAGGATCCCTTCCCCAAGCCGAGTCAGTTCCTCCGAGATTCTCAAGTGCGTCCTGACCTACCTCAGCACGTGCCACGTTACTCGCAGCCTTGATCTACAGCTGGAGCGTTTTTCTTTTAATCTCTGGCACGGAGTCAAGACGGCTTCACCTGGCCAAATTCTCAGCTCAGCTCCACAACGCTGGCGTAGGACTCCTTCCTGTTTTGTCCTTTTCCCCGTTTTCTGAGGACCTTCAACATTCCTTGTGAATGCGTCGTGGGAGGAAGCCGAGCCCCGGGCCCCCGTTGAAGCAGCACGCCCCGGAGCAGACGACGGAGCTGCTCTCCACCTAACGGGACCTGGAGACGGCTGCCTGTCCACGCAGGGAGACGCTGGACGATGGGCTGGCGTGTTGGCCAGGGCGGGCTGGATTGTGTTTTTGCAAGCCTGCAAGGCCACAGAACCACCGGCATTCTTGTGGACAGATTTAAATGCTAGATTTAAATGAACAAACTGCTTTGACGCAAGACGCTTGGTTCACAGCTGGGGGAAGGAGAGTAGGTGCCAAGTTACCAAAGTGGGAACCCTGAGCTGCTGCTCTTAGAGATCACCTTTGACCAGGCACTTGGCTCTTTTCACAGGCAGCCGCCACCACATCCCTCCTTACCGCCTGCACAGCTCCTAACCGCCATCGATCATCTCACTCTAGATGAAACCCTGTTGTTTGTACCATATCATTACCGATTCCAATGTTGCTCTAAAGTCAGCGTTCCTCAACTTTCTAGCTAGGAAATGAGCTCTACAGAATTAATTGGGGCTTCTTTATGAACACGAAGAACAGGATCAACCAGCATGAATGACAGATGTTATCTGCTTTATAAGCAGCCACTACGCTAAGTGTGCAGACGGCATCAGGATCTCCGTAAGCAGATATCTGGCGTGAGAGAATGAGTTTATCTTAACCGAAATAGCATCCTCAGGCATGTGTGGGAAGGAAATGTTGGAAGAAAACTCAGTTCCGGCTAGAGATACCCTCATCCTCTTTGGCCTTTAACGCTGCCCATTTCCACGGCTTCCTTCTTTCTCAATGACCCCTTGTTCTCCCCTGTGCCCTCTTCCCAGACCATCAGGTGACTCTTCGTCATCCTGTAGCTCTACACAGGCTTTAAAAATAAGCTTGTGCCACTGGTGAATCTTTATTCAGAACAACTAACTCCCCTGGTGATTTTATCGTTTGAATTTATATTTATGTAAAAAAAAAAAAGCACGTGTACACCAACATATATAGCAATATTTACAGTTACATTTCCGATCCCTTTGTAAAAGCAAATAGCAAAGTCATCATATAACCAGACAATCCTGCCTTATAAATACAAAACATCCCTTTTTAACCGATGGTGTTGCAAGTCTACCTGAAGTGAAATGAACCTCTTTATGCAGCGCGACCACAATTTTTCAAGATTTTGAGCAATCAAGCATTTGGGGTTTCTCAGAGAACAAACTTTAAGATAGCTAGCTTAACTCTACCAACAGTGCCTCAATTGTTTTGTATTTTATATACCTATCATATTGTATATGGAAATAAAAGTTACAACCAGTATTAGGCTGACATGTTTCATTCTATTTTGGCTGCTTCCTGGCTAAAACACTAAAGGTGGAGGAAAAACGACAGACCACGTTGGAGGATGCAACGTGTTTGCATACAAGCAGCAGCAGGAGACAGAACTGGCTTTCCTGGAACGCTTTTAAAGCTTCTAGTCTTCACAGCTGGGGAGATGCTTGAAAAGTGGCCTCTACTTGGACCCTAGGCTGAAAATCGTGTGTTGGGTGCCCGAGGGCATCCAGGGTTCCAAGAATAAGGCCAAAACGCAGCCCCCTCTATGCAGCCCTGCACTTCCAGGCGACCGAGTGGGCCCAGCAGGAGGACCCTCAGTTGGAGGGGAGTGCCCGAGATCTCGCTTTTCAGATGTTTATACCAGTCCTCAGTCACAAGCACAAAGTTATTCCCTGGTGAACAGCGTTTTCCTACTGTAATCTTTTTTTTTTCTTTTTTTTTTACAAGCAAGGAAGAATGCTTGGAATACGTCTGCACAGACATGGTTACTGCTCAATGCCCTCCAGGCAACAGATGCCAGAGACCACGCAGGTCAGAGGAACTAGAAGCGAGGGAAGAAACCTTACTTGCTACTAAAAGCTGCGTTCAGCTATTGTAGCCCAACTAAAAGGCAGGCACCCTGCCTGGCGCAGTTTACCCGGCCCTGGACCCAGGGCATTCCTGGAAGAAAACACAGAATACGCTACTCTTGGCTTGAAGCACCAAGATGGGAAAACCACTTCCTCTTTTTGAAACAGCAGAACATCTTTCCACTGAACAACTTGTTCAGAAAGTGTGTCGAATCACTTTGGAAAGGGGGGTACAGTTAGAAAAATATGTTCCTCTTGCTCCTTTTTTGAGAGGCAGAATTAGCAGTGTTCCCCTGGACTGTTTTCCACAGCATGCTGGAAGGAACAAGCAAGGCTGGGACCCACTAGATCCTAGCCAGCCGGATTCAACTATTTTACCAATTCTTCAGTAGTGCTGATTTAGGTAAGGAAATAGCTTTTGGAGAGAGAGGAAGTCTTTTGGATAGGAACTGTCCAACCCACCAATGAAAGTGGACACTGATCCGAATATGGTAACTAAATTAAATTGATGCCAAGGGCCTTTTAAAAAATTAGGAAAATATTTTAAGTCTGCAGGAAAATCCAACAAAAGGTACTTTATTTAAAAAAAGATTTTTGACCCACATGGCTTTGGAACAAGAGGAACATTCTGTACCTCTCACATTGCTAGTGAGGGAATGAAAACTAAGCTTTATGCAACTTTTCCCCGCTTGGCGCTCTTTAGGCCTGCTGAACTGCGAATCTCTGGCCTCACTGGGTGTGAACTGGGGACATCTTAGGCAAGCCTGTTTGGAGACATCAGCTTTGGGAGGCTGGCTTCAAGAACCGTTTCCCCAAAGCTCTCCCACCCTTGATGCCAGCTTTGTGCAGGAGAAGACGGTCAACCAAGGATTGCATGCGGTGTTTTCAACACAGTGAGCTGGGGAGAGAATACCACTAAAAAGTATCTGGGAAAAGTGGTGTCGGCGGTTAGGGAAGGGGTCCTGCCCCACGCCCAGAAACAGGTTCACTCCGTCTACAGAGCAGAGATGGATTGAATCTCACAGAAAGGTCCGTAGCGTCCGTGAATGTCCTTGGACTGCATAGTAATGTAACACTTGGCTGAACGTGGGAAGTGAGAGAGTGAGCAAGCCATGGGGAGAGGCAGGGCCTTGATGATGTTGGTCCTCCAGTCACCGGTCGCCCCACTGTCGGCATCCTCCAGGCAGATGAACAAAGAAAAGCTTTCAATGGGAGCACACCTGGGGTCCGCTCGGCTGACGTCCCACTGCAGGGCAATGCCTTTGGGCTGGTGAACCTGAGCAACTGCCAGCTTTAGTTTCTGTGGCGGCAGAGTGTCTCTGAAGTCCTTCGCGTGCTCTGGGTTGGACTCAACGCTCGGTAATGGAGGGAGGTGAGGAAACCTTGAGGGCACCTGGGGAGAGGCGGGAGCTGCAGGTCATAAGCAGGCAATGAGAGGAACAATCCTGCTCATGGCATTCAGAAGGCTAAGAAGTCCCATGGACTCCCACATAAAGCAGGCATGCCAAGTCGTGCAAACATTCCCTACACAGAACAGGGAGTTTTGGGTGGTCCGTGTCAGACCAAAGGTGCATGTTCCGGGATTGGAGACAGTGGGGAAAAGCCCGGCCCTTGATGACAGCAGC